AAAAAATGTCCTGAGAAAAATGGTATCACCTGAAAATTATAGCTAGTATTTGCATATGTCTACTCACTGATAAAACAGAATTATTATAGCTATCCTAAAGCCACAAACAAAAAAAAGGTCTACTGTCATTTTCTCTACTTGACATTGGTCTGGAGGTCTTAGCCAGTACAACTAACAAAGAGGGGAAAAAAAGTCATGAGAATAAAAGATGGTTGGTATTATTGAAAGAAAATAGTGGTGGCCCCTTGAAAAAGCCAAACAAATCAACTAAGTAACTATATAACAAGTATGACATTCATTTAATAAGATATCTGGAATCAAGATCAACTGAGTCAATAGCTTTAAAAGAAACTGGCACCATTCACGTAGGCAGTGAAATGGAAAATCCACCGATAATAACAACAATAAGCCTAACAAGAAATGAGCAGATTTAGAAAATTGAAAACATACAGTAAAAAGATATTTGGTACAGGAGAAAAGTGTCATTTCAAAATCACTGGGGAAAGGATTGTCACAACTATACTACAACAATTGGCTGTGCTTTTTATTCTCATATTTAAAAGATATATTTATATGTTTATATACTATTCCAAAATTAATTTTGTAGCATAGCAACAATTAACTAGTTTATCTTCATAACCACTTTTTTAAAAGAATGTAAATTCAATCAGCCAACATATATATAGTACATCAGATGTGGTTTTCAATAATTCAACAGTTGCATATAATACCCATCAATCATATCTCACATCTTCTTTATCCATCATCTTTCGATGGACACCGAGGCTCCTTCCACAGTTTGGCTGTAGTGGACATTGCTGCTGTGAACATCGGGGTGCAGGTGTCTCTGTCTTTCACTGCATCTGTGTCTTTAGGGTAAATCCCCAGCAGTGCAATTGCTGGGTCTTAGGGCAGGTCTATTTTTAACTCTGAGGAGCATCCACACAGTTTTCCAGAGTGGCTGCACCAGTTCACATTCCCACCAACAGTGTAAGAGGGTTCCCCTTTCTCCACATCCTCTCCAACATTTGTGGTTTCCTGCCTTGTTAATTTTCCCCATTCTCACTGGTGTGAGGTGGGATCTCATTGTGGTTTTGATTTGTATTTCCCTGATGGCCAGTGATGCGGAGCATTTTCTCATGTGCTTGTTGGGCATGTCTATGTCTTCCTCTGTGAGATTTATGTTCATGTTTTTTGCCCATTTCATGATTGGATTGTTTCTTTGCTGTTGAGTTTATCAAGTTCTTTATAGATCTTGGATTCTAGCCCTTTATCTGATACGTCATTTGCAAATATCTTCTCCCATTTGTAGGTCACCTTTTAGTTTTGTTGACTGTTTCCTTTGCTGTGAGGAAGGTGTTTTTTTTTTGTTTTTTTTTTTTTTTTTTTTTTTTTATCTTGATGAAGTCCCAGTGGTTCATTTTTGCTTTTGTTTCCCTTGCCTTTAGAGACACGTCTTGCAAGGAGTTGCTGTGGCTGAGGTCAAAAAGGTTTCTGCTTGTGTTCCTCTCCTAGAATTTTGAGATAAAAAAAAAAAATCTATCGTTTGAGTCACCCATTCCGTCGTCCTTTGTGACAGCAGCCCCAGAACACAAAATACAATAACCCAAAATATGAGTGGGTAAAAGGCATGCACAGATAATTCTTAGGGGAAGAAATGGAAGTACTAATAAAAGTGAAAATACAATCAATCTTCCCAAGAAAGTGATCGAAAATTATGTCCTAAAGAAGGTATCATTTTCCACTCATGCCACAACATGATTAGGTAAAGGAGGAAGACAATTTCCAGTTGAAGTGAATGTGTTGAAAAGAATGCCAGAATTCTGTACTGACGATAGAAGTATAGATTTAAATATTTTCCAGGAAGACAATTTATTGGTGCCTATATATTTTTTAAGATTTTATTTATTTATTCATTGGAGACACACAGAGAGAGGCAGAGACACAGGCAGAGGTAGAAGCAAGGTTCCCTGTGGGGAGCCCAACATGGGACTCGATCTCGGGACCCTGGGGGACTCACTCAACCACTGAGCCACCCAGGAGCCCCTACTGGTACTTCTAAAAATTAACATTTAACTCTGGAATGAACTGTTTCCCTTATAGGAATATATGCCATAGGAATTTTCAGGAAAATATATTTGTACCCACATATGTGGATTACTTTGAAAAGAGAAAGAAAAATTGAAAACACCCTAAATGTCCAGTGGTAAAATAAAATCAAATATATGCACAGAAATTTTAATATGTATAGATGTGGAAAGAGCTCTGAGATGTACAAGCCAGTTGCAGGATACAACTGTAGGAGGATCATGTAAATATTAAAAAAATATATGCATGTATATTATGGGGAAAATAACATGCATTGGGATAAATCATTCATAAATGTGATAAAATGCTAACCAGTGCTTCTATTAAGGTTGCTTTTACGGGGTAATCTGTTTTCCCCTTTTATAAGAACCTCGAATGATTGAAACTGAAGTGGTGCTATTAACTAACACTTTGACTACTATATTTATCTCTGAAAAAATGTATCTTTTTTGTGGCTTCCAGTTGTACTTAGCGGAATCACAGAGGGATGTAAACTGGTTCTCTTTCTCTAATGAATTTATTCAAAGGCCAAATATAGTGATAGCATTTAAAGATGATTGTAAATAATAAAAAAAGGAAATGCTATTCCTAATTTTACTTAATGGAAAATAATAAATGGCAAAAAATTCCAGTACCAAAAACATATATCAGTGCAGGAAGGAGTAATAGATAATGGGTTCTGCAGTGGCACAGTGAACATTTCACTATGATAAACTGATAAGCTCCTAGTCAAGTTACTGTGTTGTTCTTCCAGAGTGCCAGCTGAGACCCTGGGCCCTGGAGGCTGACCACATCATTAGTAGAAATCTGTCCTGGGAAGTTACCATCCCTGTGATTCAATTTCTTCAACTTTCTTAAGATTAGTGCTTATCTGACAGGGTTGTTCTGCAGATTAAATGAATATATAAATATCATATATAATATTCATATAATATATAATATATAATGTATAATTCATATAATATATAAATCATAATATAATATTCATATTATATGTGATATTTACATATTATATAATATTGTGGGCATATATTTATATATAAATAATATATAATATAATATGATATTGTATATGCTATATATATAATAAATATAAATAATGTATATAATATAAACATAATTATATATAATAATACACACACACACACACACACACACACACCATCTTGCTTGTAAGACATTATCAATACATGTTATCTAACGTAGTGATTTATCCTGGTCCTTTATTCTAATTTTGGAGATGTGGTTCTTCTCACCAACATTTAGGAGAAACGAACTGGGGTATGAATTAAAGCTGAGTAGTTAGACACAGAGGCCATGTTCATCATGGCCTTTCCACTCATTAGTTGACTTTGCTAGTGAGCCTGAGAGGAACTGGTGGGGCACTATTAATCAGTGAAAATCTCAAGGCCGGGAAGAAATACTGGGGAATACTCCCAGCAGGGGAGCATTCCAATTTCCTTCAAACAAGAATATAAACCAGTGCTAGAAAACAACAGTTAAAAAACAGAAAAAAATATATAGAAGCACAAAGAATTGTGTTAGAAATCTGTCGGAGATGGCATCACTAAGGTCATTGGTAGGCCCAGCTCCTTTATAATGCTGTAGAAAGACTGGGGATCCATCAAATTTCTCAGTGACAGAATTTTTAAAACACTTTAAAAATTAATTTTAATTAATTTTTAATTAATTTTGAACCCTAGGGGTTCAAAACTCTACATGGGTTGCTCCTTTAATACATAGGTTAATATTGCATTTTATAGATGACAATAAATAAAAAGTTAGAGCCATTTTCTTACAAGTTTAAAACTGACCTTGTGAACCTTTCACTAAAACACTCTTCTTCGTAGGAAGATGACTTCTCTCCCAGGAAAGGGCTGCGTCCAACAGTTGCCTATGCCCGAAACATGGCATCATTAATAGCCAGCGCCCTGCTGCTCTCTCCCCATAACACACAGACAAAAGACATTTGAAAAAATATTATGTTTCATTGATGCAGTTGTGCGTGTTTTGCTGAAATGAGTCCCGGCTTCTCTGTCTCTGCAGTTTCTAATCTAATTTAGGCCACTACAACCTTTTCCTTGGATTGTTGCCGTGGTAACTTCCTTTCCAGCCTCTCTTTCTCCAGGTTTTTCCCTCCTCTAGGTCACTCTCCAGTCTTTGGCCAGGAAAATCTTTATGAAACATTAACCCAACCATGCCAGTCCCTGTTCAGTTACTTACACTTGTTTTCAAAACGATCGCCAAAACTCCTGTCCCTAAGCCTTCTTGCATCTGTTTGCTCATGCTCTCCACGTCCTCATTTTATTTTTATTTTTTTTTCCACGTCCTCATTTTAGCAGCAAATCCTGACACCCCCCCCCCGCCTTAGAACTCTAAATCTTCCAATATATACTCACTTTTTGAAAATTTCAGGGAGCTTGTTTTTATTTGTATTTACACATGCTTTCCGCTTCCATATAGCTAATTTCTACTTATCTTTCCACCAGTATCTTATGTTTTATATTACACTTTTCCCCAGGAAGTCTTCCATAGATTAGCAACTCTCGTGTGTCCTCCAGTTGATCATTTTAACCTCCTCTATCAGGTAGAGTTCTAGGCTACCTTGTCTACTAGGATGATGTCATGGAAAATAGCTGCTTTCCAAGAGGTACCTGATAGACTATCCTATACCTGTCAAAGATACACAGCATTGTTCTGAAAACTCAATGCCGAATGAAACCTTTGTTATAAAGCTGCTTGGTCTTCAATTTTCTCCTTTTAGATGAAAGAGGAAAAACAAAACATCCTAGTAATTAAAACTGCAATTAATCTAGATGTTGCTTTACATGCAGGGGCTTGTGATTGTGTTATGTGGCTAAAGGCCAGTGGAAGCACTTGAGGGGCTCTCATGCGATTTTTTTCTGTGTTAGACAGGACTATGAAGAGCTAGAAAAGCAGCTGAAAGAAGTCTTTAAGGAGCGAAGCAACATCCTCCATCAGCTGACAAAGACATCAAGAGAACTTGATGGAATTAAAGTCAACCTTCAGGTGAGATGAAATCTCATTTTCCTGGTCACCTGGTTTGTCTCGGTGGATCAACATTAAAGACTCCTGCTTTTTTTTTTTTTTTTTTTTTTTTTTTTTTACCAGTTTTGAATATGTTTCTGGGTTCCACCAGGGGAGTTATTTATTATCATGTGAGCTTTGAAAAGAAATGTCATTTTAAATGCAGTCTGGGAATCTGTGGTTTGCAAATTCAGGAAGGAGAAAATTATTTGCTTGCCAAGGCCATCAGTCTCTCATAGCTCCTAAGATCAATCTGCCCCCCCCTTTTTTTTTAATATTCTGAAATGATGAAAACTAATTATGACAAGGAGTTGAATGAATTTAGGAATGATCTCTGGAAGAGAACTTTAAATTCCACACAGGATAATTCTCAAGATTCTTTAATAATCTTCATTACTAAAATGGGAAAATGCCTTAGAAAGGAAAGAGTCATCCATGAACATGTATTGATACTCAGTGAAATCTCAAGCAAAAAAAAAGACAAGATCTATATCTGATAAGATAAATTTTCTGATCCATATCGATAAGCAAAGATCTATATCTGATAAGAAAAATTTTCTGAAGTATCTGATGATATATTTCAATATTTGATTGAACACTGGAATTTATTGGGGACCTGATTGTAATTTTCATAATATATCTGTGAGGTAGATACTATTCATGTGATTTTTCATGTTATACGTGAGAGATTATGCTTTAAAAAAAAGATAAGTTATTTTTGAATGTCACAAGGGAAGCTGGAGTTTAAATACACAAAATGTGGCTTCAGGGCCTATTAGTTACTGCGCTCAACCATGTTTCTGAAACATGTGGAGTCGGTGTTGTCCTTAGCTTTCTATTCCTTGAAGATGGAGATGATGATGATGATGGTGTCAGCCGCCACTACAGCTTATTGAACACAGTCAAGGTCTTCCGTTAGGGATGGCCTGTATAATTTTTATTTATTTTTTACATGAAGACTATGCTGTGGTTATTAGTAGTTTCCTATAGGTGAGAAAACAAGATTTGGAGAAAGGTAAATTCTAGAAGACACAGAGTAAGGTTGCAGAGCAAGTGGGTAAATGAGCCTAGTGCCCAAGCTCTTGTTCCATAAGCTATGCTACAGCTTGAAAACATGAAATTAGGAGCAGAAAGCCCACCATATACCCCATTAGAACAGGGAGCAGGGTAATGACAGTGCCATGATGGAAGAAGACACACACGGTAGGGAAGCCCTGGCTTGGATGGAAAGGGGGTTAAGGCAATTTCTGGAGTGAGCTGATAGCGGAGTTGCACCTTATGCTTAAGTAGAAATTCACCAGTCATATGAGGCTGCAGAGAATGTTCAGCGCACCTGCACCTCTCAGAGGCGTGGACCACCTGGCGCTTCCAAACTGTTTCATGCATATGGTGAGATGCCCATGTGTGACCACAACACTCAGTGTCGCTGTACCAATAGACTGAGTCAACACGCCCAATCACAATCTGGAAAACTGCTTGATAATAATATATGATTTCATAGAATCCTGTTTTCTTTTTTAAGGGTAACAATTGTACCACTAAACGTAGTTGCAATTTTTTTTTCATTTTTTTTCAGTTGCAATTTTTAAAAGCTTTTCTCTTTCCATTTTGTGTCAGCCACTGTGTGAGGTATTTATTTTCTTTATTTTTTTCTTATTTAAATCCCCTTAGCAACCTCTTCACAAAATTAAGGTAATATTTTACTCATAAAATGAGGTTAGTAGGCCAAGGAAGTGCCCACTCATACATCTAATAAATACTGATTCTAGGTTTTAAACTCAGAGTGAACACTACAGAGACCATTCCACATGTTTCCCCCAGTGGGACTCCGCGAAGGTAGGAGCTTTGAAAGTTCTGTTGCAGTCTTCTCTGTAACCGTGGCCCCTGAATGGGATGGCAATAGCCGTCAACCACTAAGCACTATGCTGATCCATGAGGAGGTATATCAACCTTTAGTATCCTTAAAGGAACCCAGAATATTTCCCAAGGAGTACACCCCACTTCTCTGGACATTGCTAGGTAAATAATCAAGGACCCTCTCTCCAGCTCTTCCACTTAGATGTGCCTTGCCGACTCCTATCTGTATCTACCCTTTTCATTTCTGCATCTCATATTCTTTTTCACTTTTTTTTTTTAAATTTTGAATTTCTTGAAGATACTCATCTGCTTGATCTTGGTTTCCTTCAGAATGCCCAGAATATAGCAGATGGTCCATACATCAGCAGGCATATTTCGTTGCACTTTTCATCAAGCGTTTTCCGCATCTCTTTGGTCCTCTGAGTTTTCCAGTCACTGTCTAAAGCAGACACTTCAAAAATCTCATCCCTGTTTTTCACCTAAGGAAGGCAAAGGGCAGATTTGGGGACCTGCCTCAGGTCATAGGACGGTGATGCACTTTGAGCTGTAAAATCCCATGATGGGCAGTGCCCTGCACCGCCTCTCGCTTGAATTCTTCTTCCTGCTCTCTTTGTATTTTGTGTCAAGCTGTTCTTTCCAAATAAGCAAGACAACTTGTATTGATCTAGGAATGACCTCAGTCAGTTATTTTAGGAAAGAAGTTTCCCTTACGCAGCTCAGCCCGCCACATCCTGATCAGAATGCTAATTTGGTGGTATGAAAATTGCCTGATGTTAGCCTTAGACTATGGAATTTGTGAAGGCAGACACTGTGCCCCTGCATAGGACTTTGCATAATTCACGACAGATATTTGTTCAAGAGATACCGAGTAAACAGTGTCCGCCGTCCCTAAGAGTGTCTGTTCCCTGCCGGCCGCAGCTGCTCTTCCTGCAAACAGTGTCACTGCTCCTAATACCGGCTTCAACTTCTAATGTCAAGAAAGATAGCTTGCCCTGTTAAATAGTTTGTTGCGTATAAATAGAAAAGTTGTCAGGGAAGACTTCAGGGGACAGAGCGTGTAATGAGAAGAGCTCAGTGGGCTGTGTGAAGTCCCGGCCTGTGGATGCTGACTTCGCCAGGGTCAATAAACACTAATGACTGAGCCAGTACTTTCTAATTTTTTTTCCCTAAATACCCGACCTTGTCAGAGCAGTTACGGTCTTACATGGCCTCAGTTTCTCTGTGTATTCTGGTGCGTTGCTCACTCATGATAAATAGGCAAGACTTAACAGGTGCATGCTCTTTGGCAGCTGTGATCTTGAATCGTGTTATCACTTAGCTGATTCAGAGAGGTCTCTTATGTCCATTTGAGTCTGTAGAAACTATGCCAGAGCTGCTTTGTCGTAGAGAGTAGATGTGTGTTGCAGAAAAGGCCCTAGATATGGGAGAGCAGTTCCCCCTCCATCGAACCTCTGAAGGCTGACACTCAGCTTCTTCCCTTTCACGACGGCGTAGCGCCCGTCCTGGGTTTGGTGTCAGAAATCCCCGTGTGCATCCCTAGAGCCCTGAGCATCACTTTGGCCTCATTTGCACATTCTCGTTCCCGGGCGTAAGAGCAGTCACACCTGTGCCACTGACACAAAAGTAAAGTGAGTCTCAATTTATCACTTGAATAAGATTTTCTTTTCCCACTTTTCTTATCAGTCTTTGAAAAATGATGAGAGATCTTCCAAATCTGATGTTGAGAAGCTTCTGGAAATAGGTCAAAGACAAAGGTAAGATTGTACATTCCTTTAATTTCCTCAGTTCTTTTTTTTTCCCCAATAGTGTCAAACTCCATTCAGAAATTCCACAAAAATCTTATCTTCTTACTTAGACACGAATGCATCAGAATCATATTGAAATGCAGGTTTGTATACAGTAAATCTATGGTGGGGCTGAAAATTGTGTGTTTCCAACAAGTTCTCTGGTGATCGGGACGCTATGCTGCTTGTCTGCAGATCACAGAATATTTATGGATCTGTAGTATTGTCCTCTGTTATCCTCGTAAGATAGAGCCGGGGAAGTCAGCCCATCAGTAGACGCATGCACTAGCACTGACCTCCGTGGGCCACGTGTAATAGGATGAAAACTTGACCACGATGATAGCGGTGGGGGTGGTGAAGAATGGGGTAATCTATTAACCATATAGGTAGAATTGGTCTGGTCTTCTTGGTGTCAGATTTTTTTTTTTTTTTTGAAGAAAGCGTATCATGAGATTTGTTTGCACCATAAAAAAACTAGATTTGAAATTGCCTCTCAAAGAAAAAAAAAGATATTTTAAGGTAGAAACAAGCGAGCATTTGTTATACACTTAGTAGAAGCTCTGCCTGCCACATGCTTTATAAATATTTTCCCATTCCATCCTCACAATTACCTTGTACAGTAGATATGATCATCCCTATCTAATAGGTAGGAACTTGTCGCTCACAGGGCTTACACGGGTTGAGAGCTGTTAAGTGGAATTTGCTCTGCTGTTTCACCCAATAGCCACACCCTTTCACCTTAGTTCACTGCTCACAAAGCAGGAAGCTGCCAAAATGTTACATGCTTTCTACTATACTCACCATCTTGCTTCTTCCCCGATGTCCTCGCCTTTTGGCCCAGAACCCTATCATGGACATATATTCGGGGCAAACCAATGACACATTGCAAATACCAAACTAAGTGTCTTATATTGACTCTTTTTATTATTTAAATGAGATTATTATTTCTTGAACATGAAATTCCCTTCAAAGTCCAGTGTTAAAGAGTTTGGAGTGGTTGGTGGGTGGAGATTCCCAGAAGGCAGTTTTGGATTCCGTGTGCCAAAGGATCGGGCACTATTGCGTTCTCTGGAAACAAAAACAATGTGCAGGAGAGTGGCAAGTGCTCCATTACAATATCTGTTGGTAACCACAGGTTACCAGAAAAAAAAATGCTTTTCTGTGGTGTGGTTCTGGTGAGTTTTTTTTTTGTTTTGTTTTGTTTTGTTTTGTTTTGTTTTTTTGTTTTGTTTTTTTTAATTCACAAATTGATGTGAAGATGTATGAAACAGCTGCCCTGTCAAATCCCTTGCAACCACGAAATTCTGTGTGGAAATGTGCTCAACACCTGGGCAACCTATCATAGGTGTGACTGGAGCCGTCGGCTCTTTAGAATTAAAGACTCAGTTTGGTACCAAATAGCACCCTGGAGTAGTAGTGATAGTTGGGGTCAGTCCCTCTTGGGAGAGGGGGCCCATGAACAAGTCAGGAGTCTACTCTCTAAGAGTATAATAATGTAGCCAGGCTGTGAGGCAGAGAGTGGGGGTCCCGAAAGCCTGAGAGCAGTGAGAACAGGTAGCAATATGCTTAGAAGGCAGAAGAGGATATAGAGACATTCAGAAGGTCAAAGATCATCTTTACCATCCTGGCTCACAGCTTTCCTGGACGTGAAAATGTCCAGCATCCCCTGCCTTCTCCAGTGTTTGTTAACAGCTTTAAGGTTATTTTTGTTCTGCTCCCTACATTGCCTATAGATGTCAGGATGTGGGATTTTTTTGACACACACACACACATACACACACACACACACTCATTTTTATTTTTATAAGGCATGTGATACTTTAAAGAAATATGAATCACTTAAAATTTTAAAAATGATAATTTTAAAGTTCAAAAATAATGAAATAATATTCATAAAATCTTACCATAATTCTTTTTTTTGACCATAATTCTTTTATCACTTAGAATAGTTTATATTTTGATTCAGTGCTTGTTAAAGATCTGAGTGTTAGAGATAGCACAAAGGTCCTTCCTTCTTCTTTCCTTCTTCCCTCTGGCCCTTCTTTCTCTCTCTCTCTGTAAAGGTGGTATAGTGACTCTAAGAATTTGAACCCATAAGATCTAGAACACAGTTTCACCACCACTCTCTGTAGCAGTTTTCTGTTTGTACTATTACGTCATAGTTTGATGTGAACGTTCTAGGAGTGTCTGGTGCACTGTAAGCCTATGACATGTGTAGGTATTACTGTTACGTCATATTATGCCACAAATGCTCTTTGTGGAAGACTGGAAGATAACAGAAACAAGAATAGAAGTCTACATTTTAGATGTCCATGCATGAAACAATCCTGATAACTGATATGTATTTGAGGAAGGAATGAAGGCTGAGACTTAAATCCTCTCTAAGCGAAAGCATGTTACAAGCTTCACGTCGGCAAACATAAGTCATCTAAGACACAAAGGGACTGTGATTACATTATAACTTGTTCCAGTTATATTTTGCCTTGACAGAGTCCAAACTGATTTGATTTGAAATTTTTTTTTTAAGATTTCATTCATTCATTTGGGAGAAAGAGAAACAGAGACAGAGCATGCGCAGGGGGAGGGGCAAAAGGAGAGGGACAAAGAGGCTCCCCGCTGAGCAGGTTGCCCAATGCAGGGACACACACACACACACACACACACGCACACACACGCACACACACACACACGCTCCATCCCAGGACCCTGAGATCATGACCTGAGCCAAAGGCAGGTGCTTAACCGACTAAGCCACCCAGGTGTCCCGATTTTAATAATCCTATAGACTCTCACTGATATTCCTGAAATTGAGTCTGGAGTTAAAAGTTTCTAGAATAAGAAATCTGGGAGCGTCATTAAATCCCATTGGACGAAAGAACAGCACGCAGTTGTGTAGGACGTGGTGGTCACAGAATGAACCTAAGGACCTAGAGTGGTGCTGGTGGTTATGACAGAGATGTCATATATTTATTAAGTGATCATTTTCCAGGCGTTGTGCTAAGTATTTTGGCTACGTCGGGACATCTAACCTCACTGCACACCTATCAGGCAGCTCTATTAGTGACCCATTTTATAGATGAAGAAAATTGGCCTCAGAGGGTACACGCCAATCCCTAGGCTCCGTAGCGTGGTTATACACAAGGGTTGCAGAGGTGGTCTTTTGGCACTGGATTGGGAATTTTAAATTAGTTTGAGTTCTACTTGTAAGGCTAGGAATGGTTTCTCTTTGGCTATTGTTGCTTTAAAGGAGTTTATTCCTTTTTTTAAAATTAAAAAAAAAATTTTAGGACTTTATTCCTATAACCAGAATAACACACACACACACACACACACACACAAACACACACACACACACACATGCACCAACCCTTATCTGGTATCAGAACTTTTGGAAGTGGTATCTTAGGTGATAAAATATAGGCACAGAGAGATAGTATGATTTGTCACAAGTGAGTCAATCTTAAACCCTTGAGAGGAATGCATAATTAGAGAAATGTTTATATTTTTAACAAGTGAGACAAGGTCCATATGTATGAGTGAGCTTGAGACGTGATGTGTGTGTATATATACAGACGTATATATTTCTTTTATTAGCCACAATAAATGAGGCAGCCCTCAAGTTCGAAATAAGTCTCTTTTCTCTTCATTTTTTATAAAATGTCTCAGGCTTTATAAAGGATGTCTGAAGTACACCACCTTAGAATTAATCAATTAGGAGCATCCAAGGGGAAGTTGTAATTTTATCCTATTGGCAAGTCTGTGGCGACTTTTTTTTTTTTTCCCTAACCAGCATGTTCACACCCTGGCATGCTGTCACTAAAATTAGCTTTTCAACTCTAATTATTACGTTGATTTGATTTAACACATTATGCAGCTCCCAGATGATTCCCACAGTGGGATTCTCATAAGACACTATAGCGAGGCAATTTCCTTTAGATACAACTTGCTTTTAGTAGGTGCCTGGGAGAGAAAACTTTATTACTAGAATGCTCAGATACACCCTGCATGCTTCACTGTGTCCCTATCTACAGTTCTAGTTGTTTCCTAAATGCATGTCGACAGCAAAACCTCCTTTCATAATGTACACAGGAAATAACAGAATTATGTCTCTCTTTTGCTCTCTCTTTTCTCCCAGAGAACAAATGAAGTCTCTCCAGGAGGTCCTGCAAAATCAACTTAAAGAGACATCTGAGAGAGCAGAAAAACAACAAGCTACCGTAAGTATGTTTTTGTGTGTGCGTCCTTTTTTGAGGGCTGGGAAATTATTTTTTTCTCCCCAAAACACTATGGAATAAATACACCTGTAAACAATAAAAGAATACAGTCAAGAAAATGCAGTAACCGAGATCATTAAAATACTTACGTGGTCAGCATTCATTCCGAGAAAAGATTTTTGTTGTATTTGATTGTTAGAGATCTTCCAATCCCCAGCCCTCACTTACTGATCAAAATAGAGGTGTTGACCTTGGGACAGCAGTGCTGTGAATTACGGCTTATAAGCCACCTTGAACCCAGTAGAGCTGTGCAGATCCTTGGGCCCCACCCCCCCCTCCACTGACAGGAATCCCTCAGGGGTGAGGCCATCCTCTGCCTGTTCAGTCCACTCCACAGGTGACCCTGACACACCCCAAGGTTGAGAATCAAGCTTCTCTTTAGATTTTCTCACTAGATTTCCACTTTATTCTCCAGAACCACCTTATATACCACTTATGGGGGAGTGGACCCTTGATCTTATTTCTAGGACCTGAGTCTGTCTTAGAATATAATATATGAATGGAAAATTTAGAGTACAGTTCGGCCAATGGATCAGGAAATGACGACCAATGAGAATTTAGTTTGTTTCTCACAGTTCTCAAGAGGAGCGCCCTGCGTCGTGACAGGTGACTACCCAGGGAAGTACTTGGGTGGGTCACGAGGCAGAGGATGGTGAGAAGCTCTGGGCAAGAGCCTTCACTGTGGTGTCTGTGCGAGAGACTGTGTGAGGGGCCGGATAAGCAGGCTTAGGAGGAGTCAGCAGGCTCTGGGGCAGAGGGAACGCCCCAAGGTGTCTGGTACCTGACCTTGGGGTGGTTAGGGCAGGTGTATGGTGGCTTGACCTGTGAGAACCTGCCAACTCAAAGGGGTGGCTGGGGTTAAGGGCCCTGTGTTGGGCAGTTTGCTTTTGAAAAGCACGTCACCAGGAGGAACTGTTCTGTGTTTGCAGTTGAATAACTAATATGTTTCAGCTCCGAATCTCAGAAAGAGATGACTGCACCTTTGACAAACCTGGCATTGAGATATACTTATTAAAACAATGGTTATTTTTTAAATGTACATCTGCTGGGACCTAGACAGATTTCATAGTACTGGGAATTACCTCTTCCAGATTTTGGTTAGACTCTAACAGAATGCTTTGCACCTGTTCTCCCAACTGAAAATTCTAGGTTAACTAAAAATGAAACTAATTTGTATTTTTAAGCATTTTTGGGGGTAGATTATTATTATTTTCTCTGTCAGGAAGGCTGTTGGTGTAATTGAAGGTTGGGTAAAAAGGAGAGAGAAAGATGACTGTAGTTGTTCACTCTCAAATAGAGGGGAAAAACCGGATTTAATTCTGCAAACGTTGTGCTATTTTCGATTGAAGAGCTGCTAATCTTATTGCTACACTTGATTGCATATCTAATTACTTTACCTCTTCCCATAAAGATAACATTCTATATTTTATGCAAAAATTGTTGCAAATATATCATTTGATAAGCTTACGGTAAAATGTCATGAAACTTCAAGGATAAACTCAAATCGCAAACATATAAAAGAAGATAAACTTAAGACAAATTAAACCGAAGAAGCAATAAATCCATCATGATCTAATTCTGTAGGAAAATATATATATATATATATATATTTTTTTTTACGAACAAAGGAACATTTGTTATTATCCCTAAGCAAATAATGGGATAGCATGTCTGTCAACCTGTGTTCCTCATGAAAAATCCCAACAGACAGCAAGGAAGAACGAGGTCTCATTCTCTGTTAACTGGGGTAATTAAAGATATTAATGTTCATTGGATGCATTTCACTAGTCTTGTTAATTTGTATGGCTTAACTTGCCCTAAGTGAGACATAATTAGTCTAAAGGCAAAAATTAGCTTCTAACTTTGACTCTCATTAAGAGTAAAGAATTGCTATGTTCTTACATTCTTTGTCCAAAGTAAATAAATGGCATTTTCTGTTTCTGAGAATTAAATTCATAGCGATCTACTAGGAATGCTTATTTTTTCAGGGATGCAAAAACCTGTTGGGATTCTAGAGCAGTGGTTTCCAAATGCTAATACTTTTTGAATAGTCTGAATATATTTTTAGCTCTTGAATATTTGAACACTGCGTTCTCAAGATTTTCCATCCCTGTTTCACATTTGAATAATTATATTCCTAACACTGCGATGTATTTCCGTTGTACTCTTTATTTTTTATTTATTTAGTTTTTTAGGTAAACTCTGTGCCCAAAGTGGGGGCTCAGACTCCTGACCCCAGGATCAGGAGTCACCTTCTGTACCAACTGAGCCAGCCAGCATCCCAACAGCTAACTTTAATTAGAGTAAAAGCTGGGACACCTGGCTGGCCTAGTCACTAGAGTGAGCAGCTCCAGATCTGGGGGGTCAGGAGTCTGAGCCCCACACCCAGTAAGGAGTAATGCATTTAAAAAGTGCTAGCATAGACGTGGTGTAAGCTCTGACAGTTGACTTTTCTTTTTTGTAATACAAGTGCTAACTTCAGCTTTGATTGTGAAGGCAGCCACTTCAAAGATGGCTATCTGAAAGAAACGCAGTGCCAGCCACAAGACTGGCTACAGAGCCAGGCCAGGTCCTCCCCATCCCAGGCTCACGCTCCTAAAAAATCCCCAGGCTCCCTTGTTTGGGAGATCTTGGTTGATTTCAGTAATTGACCATTTAGGTGGCTTTATTTTCTTTTTGCATTTTTAATTTTCATTCTTATGTTTGAATTCACCAGTAGGAAGTGACCCCAGGAAACCCTAGGCCCCTACCCTCCACTCCAATAAATGCAGAACCTCGGGCCTTCACTCTCCCTGGCTCTTTTTTTTTTCTTTTTTTTTAAGATTTTATTTGTTTATTGATGAGACACACACACACACACACACACACACACAGAAAGGCAGAGACACAGGCAGAGGGAGAATCAGGCTCCATGCAGGGGGCCCGACGTGGGACTCAATTCCAGGTGTCCAGGATCACACCTTGGGTCGAAGGCGGCACTAAACTGCTGAGCCCCCCAGCCGCCCCCCCTGGCTCTTTCTACCCATGGCCTAACTGTGTGGCCCCCAGGAGTGACATGTAATTTCTAGGACTTAAAAGTAAACTTTTTTAAATTTTTAATTTAATTTATTATTATTTTTTTAATCTTCAAAACTTCCCGATGATACTGCTGAGGGTGTCTTACAATCATACTAAGATCCACAAAGACTGGTCCAGCCACAAGATTGGTTATCTATAGGCTGAGACACAGGACACAGCCATTGAAATGGGTGCAGAAACTGCTTATTGGGGAATATCCTGTTGCACTGCATAGGTATCTAATTTGGAATGGTGTCAAGTCCTCTATTTCTTTGCTTTTATCAACCAAATTGAACTATCTTCTCAGTGGGACAGAGAGTGTGACTGTGTTTTAGGTTGTTGGCGATATCTTCATAGTTAAGATTCAGCTTGAACATTATTATGATCCAAACGATAGTCACGGTAGTTCTCAGGCTTGTACTTGTTTCATAGTAGCTTGACCCTCCAAAATCGGCTTAGATTTCTGTTACCGTTTGAATGAATGGTGTAAGGACCCCTACACTAGCCAGAAAACAAAGGGTGTTAACATTTTTGTAAGGATTAACACAATACACAAAAAGCAAAACGTACAAAAACATGCACAAGGTTGTAATACACATCGACTTCTGGAGAGGGAAGGAAGAAAAATTAGGTGAGGCTTTAATAGTAGGTGTATCATTTGTTTTTTTTTTACAAGGTCTGAAGAAAATTGGAGAAAATATTTGCATCTGTTTATGTTTAGGGTTGGGCCCAGAGGCATTTTAGGTATCGCTTCTTCGTCTTTTGTTTATGTTTGAAATGTTTCAGAAATATATTTTTTAAAAAAATATCTATGTTTGGTGAAAATTCATTTTACTTCTAAACTTGATTTCCGCTGATTCAGTCTACTGCTAGATATGATCCACATTACCAGTCTCTCTTGTATCGTTCCAGGGATCCTCTAAGACTGTATTGTCCAATAAATAAGCACTAGATACACAAGGCTATTGAGCGTTATGACATGGCTAGTCCAAATTGAGACATGCTATTAAAACATACAGTGGATTTTAATGATATATCGCAGAAAATAATGTCAGTTACAGCATTAGTCCATTCCATGTCAAAATAATAATATTTGAGAATATTGAATTAGATAAAACATATGAGTAAAATTAATTTTATCTGTTTCTGTTTACTTTTTTTAACATGTGACTACTAGGAAATTAAAAATTGAAGAAATTAAATGTTTTATCTACTCTCATAAAGTTTATCAGAGTGAACCCTCACTGACTTTAAAGTCTCAGATTTTAACAACTATGCTATACTGATTTTTTTTTTTCCCAAAATACTCAGGCAGATATACTCAGGCAGCAAAATTGCTATGTTTATGCAAATACAGTTTGAATAACTGATCTAGATTATAGATTTTAACAACATCAAGATCAGGAGGAAACATCATGGTTTCTTTGGTACAGTACTATAAAACATTCTGTGCTTTAGAGACCAGGAATATGTCACTCTGCAATTGCCTTCCAACCTGCGATAGGTCATAATTACCTGGAGAGTGTTTTATGAATGGAGGTTTCTAGGTCCCACCCTAGAATATGGCCTTTTGTTGTTGTTGTTTGTTTTGTTTTGTTTTTTTAAGACACGTTTTTTTTAATTTGAGGTTTAAATAGATAACAGAATAATAGTTAAAATATACATGACTTCTCCATTTAAAAAAAAATGAATTTTTACTTATGAGAAAAGGCTTTTTTATAATCAGTGGGTATATGTGTGAACCGGGCAATGAAAGTTTGGTTAATGAAAATTTTAATCCTTTGTTCTTTATCAGTGTTTGTTGATAAAGAGATAATCATTTTATTATGCTTCAAAAATCATGAAGATAAATTTATAAAACCCATAGAAATGAATTTGAAATGTGCTTACATACTATTCCCCTCATTTTCAGATTAATTTTCTAAAGACTGACATGGAAAGAAAGAGCAAAATGATCCGAGATCTCCAGAATGAGGTAAGATATATTTCAGGCAAATCTACATGTGGGTTTGCATATACATTTGTTTATATGCAAACCTACATATACCTTTGCCACAATTTTTGGATCACATGCCAATTTGACCTTCAGTTATGTCCTAATGGAAAAGAATTGCAAGGTTGAGAATTTCAGAAGAGTAGATAATCTCTACTTTTATATATGTATTTGATAATATTTTTAGTTCATACCTCTCAGGTTCACTTTCCCTTCTAATTATATTTTGCTTGAGCTAATATTAAAAATTAATTTTCATTTCATAAATTCATCTGTCCACCCAATGACATTATAGGAGCTGAAGAAGAAGGCTAGCTGGAAATTGACTTCATGCTAGGAAGAGCCAGTCTAGAATGAAAAATTTATTGAGGGTAATCTTAAAGTAATGTAAAGTTGAGTAGAAATAAACTGGAATAGCTTTCATTATAGCCTTTAAAATGTGAGGACCTGGGATTCCTGGGTGGCGCAGCAGTTTGGCGCCTGCCTTTGGCCCAGGGCGCGATCCTGGAGACCCGGGATCGAATCCCACGTCGGGCTCCCGGTGCATGGAGCCTGCTTCTCCCTCTGCCTGTGTCTCTGCCTCTCTCTCTCTCTCTCTCTCTCTCTCTCTCTGTGACTATCATAAATAAATAAAAATTAAAAAATAAATAAATAAAATGTGAGGACCTTATAAAATATGTATTTTCTTCTTTTAATTCTTTGTCTTGTTATACAACTACTTTTTTTTTTCTATAGTTCCTCCATCACATTTCTATTTCCACCTTTTTTCATGAATACTGTTAATTAGGACTCTTAAACTGTGACTAATTAATGATACATTTTCCTTGATCAATCTCACTAATTATGGTTTATAGGTTAATTTATATCTCTAAGCATCTTTAGTTAACTTTTAATCTTAGATGATTTTTTCAAATCTAGACTTTAAGAAGGAAACACTTTCAAAATCAAAATATATTCATCACAAATACTTACATGGAAAAGATCTTTAAAAACCCAAATACTTATAAGGACTAACAAAATGTTTTGTTTCTGGAGGATACTTTTATAGTATGATATTAATTTTCTAAGTGTATAGGCTGGAGTAATCCTAAAACAAATACTGCTTTGCAGACATAATATCTGCTAAATGTAAACTTTGTAATGAAGTGTGCTACTCACTTTCATCATGTTAAAAATCCCCCCCCCAAAAAAAAATCTCCCAGATGAAAACTGATAACAGGAGACAGTTTTTGACTTCTTGAACAAAACCTAATGATGAGCATATATCAAATTAATTTTTTAATTAGACTCCTTTTTATTAATTCCTTGAAATTTCGGGTTTATTATATTGATAAATGATCATTATGTATAGAGACTAAACAAAATAATTGACACATACCCCGTACAGTAAAATTATCCAGATTTTTAGTTGAAGAGCAAGAAAAAACAAACCAACAGGTAAATCAGTTAAACAAAATCTAAGGAAGTGAGAGAGAGATACTATAGATATAAAGGTATTTCTGGAAGAAGCTTGAAGTCCCCTGAGAACTTCTGAGTGAAGATACCAGGAACTTTTAGTGAAACAATCAACTTTATAAAGAATGATCAGCATTTTTTCCATTATGTAAAGGCGGCTGTTAAAAGACACTTTTACATTAGCACTTAGGAATTTAGTTTTTAAGATTTAAGATATCCCTTGGAGGAGGAAAAATACTGAGACTTTTTAAAAAGCAAATGGGGTGTGGGGCAGAAAGTTTCAAGTTCTCGCCCTCCGCTTCTCTGCTTATATTCTCTTCCGTGGTACATGCAAGTCAAATCTGTGCCCCCACAGTAGGAATTCATAAATGGTGGAATGATGTCAGTAAATTCTACTTTAAATTGTTTTGGTTTATATACGAATTTTCCTAACCTGTTCAGGTTTGAAGCAATCAGGGGAAAGTCTTGTTACATTTTAGAGAACTCTTTATCAACCCAAGGGAATAAGAAAATATACAGAAGAACCTCCCAGTAGTGCTGGTAGTGGCGGTTAGGTGCCTCTGCCTGTGTCTCTGCGTCTCTCTGTGTGTCTCATGAATAAATAAATAAAATCTTTTTTAAAAAAATAAAAAAAATACTTTTCAGTGCACCAAGATATTTGTCAAAGCTGTCCATACAGGAGACTTTGTTAAGACTTTTCCCCTGAATTAAAACAAGAGATTAGTGAAAAGTATGCCCTAGGTTTTAATTTTGATGATAATGTGCTAAATTTATTTGAAGTAATTCCGTTTAGGATCTTCACCTCAGAGGAGGAAATACTAAATCTTAACTATAAGGCTGCAAACAATTGACTATGGTATTTGGGATAAATCATGGAAAACAAAATTATGGCTATAGTTTTTACTGATATCATTATGTTCTTAATGCTATGGTGACAAAGTTCCATGGTAAGTGGCCTTTCTCTGTCACAGTTTTCTCATATATCCCGTGTTTTTAGTGTATGATCTTGTACAACGCTAGATTCCTCACAATGTAAAACTTGGTTTTATAGTACAAATATCACCAGTTTCCTAGAAATTTCTGTCTCTGTTTTCTTCTTCTTATTATTATTATTTTATTTTATTTTTTTTTTTGGTTTTTAAGAAGGCTAGTATGGCTACTTTATCTTATGTGTTTTCATTATTGAAGTATAATTATCATAAAACGTCACATCAGCTTTGGGCGAGTGACAGTGATTTTACGATTCTATTACTCGCTGCTCACTGTGATAACTGGTCATCATCCGTCAGGTCACCATACAGCGTTAGTACGACAGTGTCACTCACTACATTCCCTGTGCTGCACTTTTCATCTCCACGACTTAATTTACTTTAAAACTGGAAGTTTGTACCTCTTACTCCCTTTCATCTACTTCATCCTCTCCCCTACTTACTCCCCCTCCGGCAACCACCAGTTAGTTCTCTGCATTTAAGAGTCTGTTTTTGTTTGTTTGCTCGTTTGTTTTTGGCTTTTTGTTTTGTTTTGTTTTGTTTTTCTGTTTTTTGTTTCTTTTTTTTTTTTTTTTAGATTCTCCATAAATGGAAAATCACATGGTATTTGATTTTATCTAACTGACTTATCATAATATACACTAGGTCCATCCATATTGTCACAAAGGGTAACGCCTCATCCTTTACCTGGCTGAGTAATATTCTGTTGTGTATATATACACCACGTCTTCTTTATGCATCCACCTGTTGGTGGACACTTAGGTTGCTTCCATATCTTTCCATACTATTTTCTTTAGTGATCATAGCAATTTACATTCCCACCAAAAGTGCACGAAGTTTCCCTTTTCTCCACATCCTCACCAACACTTGATATTTCCTGTCTTTTTGATACTGGCCATTCTGACAGGTATGGGGTAGTATCTCATTGTGGTTTGGATTTGCATTTTTCTGATGATCAGTGATATAAAGCATCTGTTTTTGTATCCATATGTATCCAGATTCTCTGCCAGTTTTTTTAATGGAATGGCTTATTTTTTTTTGGCTTTGAGTTGCATAAGTTCTTTGTATATTTTGGATATTAATCCCTCATTGGATATGTTATTTGCAAATATCTTCTCCCATTCAGTAGGTTGCATTTTTGTTTCCTTGATGGTTTCTTTTGCTGTGTAAAAGCCTTTTATTTTTAATGTAGTCCCAGAGGTTTATTTTTGCTTTTGTTTCTCTGCCTGAGGATATGTATCCATGAACATGCTGCTGGGGGTGATGTCTAAGAGATCACTGTCTGTTTTTTTTTTTTTTTTCTATTTTTCTATTTTTATGGCTTTAGGTCTAATATTTAGGTCTTTTTTTTTTTTTTAGGTCTTTAATCCATTCTGAGTTCACTTTTTTGTATGGTGTGAGAAAGTGTTCATGTTTTATTCTTTTGCATGTAGCTGTCCAGTTTTCCCAACACCATTTATTGAAAACACTGTCTTTTCCCTCATTGTATATTCTTGACTCACTTGTCATATTAAGTAACCATATAGACATGAGTTTATTTATGGGCCATTTCTGCTCCATTGATCTATGTATTTATTTTTGTGCTGGTGCCATACTATGTTATTTACTGTAATTCTGTAGTATATCTTGAAATCTGGGACTGTAATACTTTCCAGCACTGTTCTTTTTTCTCAAGATTGTTTTGACTATACAAGTTTTTTGTGGTTCCATATAAATTTTAGGTTATTTGTTCTAGTTCTGTGAAAAAAAAAAAACTATTGGTGTTTTGATAGGAATTCCATTTAGTCTGTAGATTGTTTTGGGTAAATCTTTGGATTGTTTTGTGTATTATGGGCTTCTTAAAATATTTCTTTTTTTAAAGATTTTATTTATTTATTCATGAGACACACAGAGAGAGAGAGAGAGAGAGAGAGAGAGAGAGAGAGAGAGAGGGAGAGAGAGAGAGAAAGAGAGACAGAAAGAAGGAGAAGCAGGCTTCATGCAGGGAGCCGATGTGGAACTCAATCCCAGGTCTCCATGATCAGGCCCTGGGCTGAAGGCGGCGCTAAACCGCTGAGCCACCCAGGGATCCCGTGGACATTTTAATAATATGAATTTTTTCAATCCATGAGCATGGCATGTCTTTCCCTTCATTCGTGTCATTTATCAGTTTCTTTTATCAGCATCTTAAAATTTTCTGAATATGAGTCTTTCACCTCCTTGGTTAAATTAATCCTAGATGTTTTATTCTTTTTGGTGCGGTTGTAAATGGAATTGCTTTCTTAATTTCTCTGTTTTGTTATTAGTGTATGGAAACACAACAGACTTCTGTACTTTGATTTTATGTCCTATGACCTTACTGCGTTCATTCATCAGCCCCAAGAATTTTTTAGTGTTGTCTTTAGAGGTTTGTACATCAAGTATTATGTTAACCTGCAAATAGTATTTTGGCTTTTTCCTTACCAGTTTGGATGTCTTTCATTTCTTTCTCTTGTTTGATTGTTGCACCTGGGACTTCAGGGTACTATGTTGAATAAAAGTGGTGAAAGTGGACATCAT